TGGGGAAGGGGGTGGTCATTCGGCGCGGTGGCGGTGGAGCGGGGGGCGCGCCATTCTTGGACTACCCACCCAACGAAGCCCTTCTTTTCTCCCCCCTCCCCCGCTACGCCTTAGAAGTGGCCTTTTTATTTATTTTCGTTGGTTTATTTTGAAAGCTGATGTTTTTCTTTCTATACCTGGAAGACTATTTATGTTTTATAAACGAACCTTCTGAACATCTGTTGCTTCACTCTGGGCTGGGCTGGGCTGGGTTGGGCTGGGCAGGGAGCTGCTCTCCACAAGCTTGGAGGGGGCTATTCCCACAGATCCAGGCAAATAAAGGAACTTGGGCAGATGTGCTGGGAAACCAAAGGACTTCCTGGGGTGGGAGGGGGCTAGATCTCCAAGGGACCCTCAAAAGGGACACACATTGATCCATGGATGGACTTTTTCAGTCTTCCACAAGCCAGTGGGCTTACTGATGTGTAGGACTTCAACTCCCAACCAGTGCCTGTGCCTACTGGGAGGTGACAGCAACCCCCTGTGCCTCAACCATCGTCAAGGGGAGGCTGGCCCAGGACCAATGGCCAAGGGCTCCCCAAGAAGCAGCCAAGAAAGTAGACCTGGTGGCACCCCCCAGTTCTGGAGGGTGTGAGACAAACTCTGGGCCAGCACTGGTAGGTCACACCTTTAGGTATGCAGCTGCACTTCACCAAAGGCACTGGCCTGGCCACCCTTCGGCTCCAGTGCAGGAGGTTTCCACATGTGTGTGTGTGTGTGTGTGTGTGAAGGGCTTCTCCACCTTTCATTGGAACCAAACGATTCAGTGCTTTAGTGGGCCTTCCTTCTTCTGGGGGGGGCACCTCCTTCAGACGCTCCGCTGGCCGCAGGTCTTGCAGCAAGGGAAGTTGCTGGCACCTGAGAAGCAGAGACTGCCCCCCCCCCCGAGGCATGTTTTGCCTTCCAATTCCTCTGAGGTCAAACTGCCTTTTGCCGAATTTACTGAGCCTGTCACCCCCACCTTTGCCACAAAGAGGATCCTGATGACACTCTGGTGCTACAGACCATCCCTTTTTACCCCAAGACGCAGATGGAGGTTTGCAGCTTTGATTGTTCCCTGTCCAAACTCAACATTCTCCACCCCAACCCCACTGGCCAGGCCAGGCGTCAGTTCCAGGTTGATCTGGGGGGCCTGGATGGCTCCCAGGGACCATGGTTCCTCTTGGCGTCTGTACCTCCCAATGGGCTTGGCTGGCCCAGGAAAGTTTGGCCAGAGTTCTGGCACCTCCTCCGGGGCTTTCCACTGGGACCCCATTGCCACGGGAACCACTGTTCCTTGCAATCAGTACTCGTGTGGGGACTTCTTCCAGGCTGTCATTCTCCACACGCTGCACAGACCAGACACTCCAGGACAGAACGACTTCTCCACCTGTATGGCCTGCTTTTAATGAGCCTCCTTCACGCGTGTCCCTGTTTTTTCAGTACTCCCTAGCATTACCAGTGCGACAGCAAACATGGACATTCCACAGAAAAGGATCAGAGAGACAATGAGTGGCCTTCATTTGTTCGTTCGTTCATTCGTTCATTCAATTTATAAGCCACCTCAGTCGCCAAACAACTCTCTCCTTGCATCAGCACAGAACAGGCCTGTCATAAAAATGGCAGTTCAGTCACGGATCGCTTTTTGGGGCTGCCCAGATGTGCAGATGCACCACTGGCTGGCTTTCCGCTGGGCCTGGCTGCCCTTTCCCTGGGGCATAACCACAGATCTGGTGCTGCCCCTGGAGAAGGTGGCTCTGATCGCAGGGCCCTTCTTAGGGCTGCCCAGGGGCTGGGCTGGGGGCTGGGGCTTCTAAGCTTTGGTCTAGGTGGGATGGCAGGGCGGCTTTGTCTGTGGCAGGGAGGGTCAGCATGGCTCTGGTGGGAGGAACTGGGTTGGACCCGGTCACATCCAAAAGGCAGAAGGGGAAAAGGGCGCAGCCTCCAGTTTGCTAGATCTGTTTCCTCCACTGCAGTTACCGTCTGCTTGGAAGGCCGACCACCTGGAGATGAGAGGTCTCCAAAGCGGGAGGGAGAAGTGAAGGTATGGCACCGTCCCTAACACCAGCGTTTCTGGGGGAGCAGTGGTAGGGGGAAAGAGCTTGCTCAGGCCCACCAGGTCGCCCAACCCCCAAAGCAGAGCCTACCTGCCGACGATGGCCCCGAAGGCCCGAAGGAGCGAGCCGGGGGACCCCAAGGGCCAAGCCAGGCAAGGAATGCGGAGGGGGGTGTTCCCCGCCTTCCCGGAGAGCTGCCCCATCCCCCCGAGTCAACAGCCGGGTGCCGGCAAGAGAGTCATTCGTGGGAAGGGCTCCCCGTGCTGCTGCTCCGGCTCCTGAGCACTCACACATGCGCGCCCGGGGACATTTGGACGGCTGGGCCGGGCTCCTCTCGGGGCAGAGGCAGTGGGCGGATGGAGCCTCGAGCCAAGGGAGCGCCCCCTCCAGCTCAGCAGGGAGAAAGTCTTCCCGGAGACACCCCAGGACAGATTTGGGGGAACAAAGGGGGGGCCTTCCCTGTAGCGGAGCCCAGCTCTCCCACCTGAGCCTCTGGTCGGCAGGCAAAGGATGGTCTTGCCGATGAGGGGGGATTTTGCTGACAGGACCCTGCGGACGGATTTACTCGGCTCCCGGTTTTCAGTTGCTTGCTTGATGCACTCCTGGATATTATGTCATCACAGACACACCTGTTATTGTATATCTGCTACTTTAAATGAACAAAAATGCCAAGGAAGGGTATTTATCAGAGTTGGTTGGTTTTGGTGCAGAGGCATAAGAAGGAGAAGCGGGGAGCCTAACTCCAACCCAGTTAGCCACTAGCCCAGACGGTCTCCTTCCCGGGAGCCCCGAGAGCCCCGGGAGCTCCTGGACACCTCTGGGGAGGAGAGGATGCCCCGCCCCCCTTCTCCAGAAGAGCTAGTTGTGGTATTCCCAGAACTCCGGCACAAGAGGGCACTGGCCGGGCACCCCGGCATCTCTTTTTTCCCCCCGGCCAGGCAGGCAGCAGGAGGCAGGGCTCGGGCCACCAGAGCCTGGCGAGGAGCTCGGCCGTGGGGGTCTGGCGGGGACAGGCAGGTTTAGCCCCTTTCTCTCTTGCTGCTTTGCCCAGAAGGCAGGAAGCAGAGCTGAGTGGCGAAGGGGCTGCAGGGGCCCGTTTCGCCCGGGAGTCGGCCTTCGCCCCGGGCAGATTGACTTGGTCAGGGGAGCCATTTCTGGTGCTCCCACAACACACCCGCCACACGCAGGCCCACTTCCTCGCTGGCTCCGTTCAGCACCCTCTGAG